TCCATGTAATAAGCGGACACTAGTCTTGATTCACCAGCGATGATTGTCTGATCAAACAGTAAATATTAACACTTTCCTTGATAATGTTCTCGGCCCAACAATTGTCTCTAACTAAAGTAGCTTCATGTTCATATCAACACATTAATAACTAGGTAGTCTTGGCTTGTCGGGGATTCACCAGCAATGATTGTCTGATCAAACAGTAAATATTAACACTTTCCTTGATAATGTTCCCGGCCCAACAATTGTCTCTAACTAAAGTAGCTTCATGTTCATATCAACACATTAATAACTAGGTAGTCTTGGATTCACCAGCGATGATTGTCTGATCAAACAGTAAATATTAACACTTTCCTTGATAATGTTCCCGGCCCAACAATTGTCTCTAACTAAAGTAGCTTCATGTTCATATCAACACATTAATAACTAGGTAGTCTTGGCTTGTCGTGGATTCACCAGCAATGATTGTCTGATCAAACAGTAAATATTAACACCTTTCTCGATAATGTTCCCGGCCCAACATTTGTCTCTAACTAAAGTAGCTTCATGATCATATCAACACATTAATAACTAGGTAGGCTTGGATTCACCAGCAATGATTGTCTGATCAAACAGTAAATATTAACACTTTCCTTGATAATGTTCCCGGCCCAACAATTGTCTCTAACTAAAGTAGCTTCATGTTCATATCAACACATTAATAACTAGGTAGTCTTCGCTTGTCGTGGATTCACCAGCAATAATTGTCTGATCAAACAGTAAATATTAACACTTTTCTTGATAATGTTCCCGGCCCAACAATTGTCTCTAACTAAAGTAGCTTCATGTTCATATCAACACATTAATAACTAGGTAGTCTTGGATTCACCAGCAATGATTGTCTGATCAAACAGTAAATATTAACACTTTCCTTGATAATGTTCCCGGCCCAACAATTGTCTCTAACTAAAGTAGCTTCATGTTCATATCAACACATTAATAACTAGGTAGTCTTCGCTTGTCGTGGATTCACCAGCAATAATTGTCTGATCAAACAGTAAATATTAACACTTTTCTTGATAATATTCCCGGCCCAACAATTGTCTCTAACTAAAGTAGCTTCATGTTCATATCAACACATTAATAACTAGGTAGTCTTGGCTTGTAGGGGATTCACCAGCGATGATTGTGTGATCAAACAGTAAATATTAACACTTTCCTTGATAATGTTCCCGGCCCAACAATTGTCTCTAACTAAAGTAGCTTCATGTTCATATCAACACATTAATAACTAGGTAGTCTTCGCTTGTCGGGGATTCACCAGCAATGATTGTCTGATCAAACAGTAAATATTAACACTTTCCTTGATAATGTTCCCGGCCCAACAACTGTCTCTAACTAAAGTAGCTTCATGTTCATATCAACACATTAATAACTAGGTAGTCTTGGCTTGTCGGGGATTCACCAGCGATGATTGTGTGATCAAACAGTAAATATTAACACTTTCCTTGATAATGTTCCCGGCCCAACAATTGTCTCTAACTAAAGTAGCTTCATGTTCATATCAACACATTAATAACTAGGTAGTCTTCGCTTGTCGGGGATTCACCAGCAATGATTGTCTGATCAAACAGTAAATATTAACACTTTCCTTGATAATGTTCCCGGCCCAACAACTGTCTCTAACTAAAGTAGCATCATGTTCATATCAACACATTAATAACTAGGTAGTCTTGGATTGTCGGGGATTCACCAGCAATGATTGTCTGATCAAACAGTAAATATTAACACTTTCCTTGATAATGTTCCCGGCCCAACAACTGTCTCTAACTAAAGTAGCTTCATGTTCATATCAACACATTAATAACTAGGTAGTCTTCGCTTGTCGGGGATTCACCAGCAATGATTGTCTGATCAAACAGTAAATATTAACACTTTCCTTGATAATGTTCCCGGCCCAACAATTGTCTCTAACTAAAGTAGCTTCATGTTCATATCAACACATTAATAACTAGGTAGTCTTGGCTTGTCGGGGATTCACCAGCAATGATTGTCTGATTAAACAGTAAATATTAACACCTTTCTTGATAATGTTCCCGGCCCAACAACTGTCTCTAACTAAAGTAGCTTCATGTTCATATCAATACATTAATAAGTAGGTAGTCTTCGCTTGTCGTGGATTCACCAGCATTGATTGTGTGATCAAACAGTAAATATTAACACTTTCCTTGATAATGTTCTCGGCCCAACAATTGTCTCTAACTAAAGTAGCTTCATGTTCATATCAACACATTAATAACTAGGTAGTCTTGGCTTGTCGGGGATTCACCAGCAATGATTGTCTGATCAAACAGTAAATATTAACACCTTTCTTGATAATGTTCCCGGCCCAACAACTGTCTCTAACTAAAGTAGCTTCATGTTCATATCAATACATTAATAAGTAGGTAGTCTTCGCTTGTCGTGGATTCACCAGCATTGATTGTGTGATCAAACAGTAAATATTAACACTTTCCTTGATAATGTTCCCGGCCCAACAATTGTCTCTAACTAAAGTAGCTTCATGTTCATATCAACACATTAATAACTAGGTAGTCTTGGCTTGTCGTGGATTCACCAGCAATGATTGTCTGATCAAACAGTAAATATTAACACCTTTCTTGATAATGTTCCCGGCCCAACAATTGTCTCTAACTAAAGTAGCTTCATGTTCATATCAACAAATTAATAACTAGGTAGTCTTGGATTCACCAGCAATGATTGTCTGATCAAACAGTAAATATTAACACTTTCCTTGATAATGTTCCCGGCCCAACAATTGTCTCTAACTAAAGTAGCTTCATGTTCATATCAACACATTAATAACTAGGTAGTCTTCGCTTGTCGTGGATTCAGCAGCAATAATTGTCTGATCAAACAGTAAATATTAACACTTTTCTTGATAATGTTCCCGGCCCAACAATTGTCTCTAACTAAAGTAGCTTCATGTTCATATCAACACATTAATAACTAGGTAGTCTTGGATTCACCAGCAATGATTGTCTGATCAAACAGTAAATATTAACACTTATCTTGATAATGTTCCCGGCCCAACAATTGTCTCTAACTAAAGTAGCTTCATGTTCATATCAACAAATTAATAACTAGGTAGTCTTGGCTTGTCGTGGATTCACCAGCAATAATTGTCTGATCAAACAGTAAATATTAACACTTTTCTTGATAATGTTCCCGGCCCAACAATTGTCTCTAACTAAAGTAGCTTCATGTTCATATCAACACATTAATAACTAGGTAGTCTTGGATTCACCAGCAATGATTGTCTGATCAAACAGTAAATATTAACACTTTCCTTGATAATGTTCCCGGCCCAACAATTGTCTCTAACTAAAGTAGCTTCATGTTCATATCAACACATTAATAACTAGGTAGTCTTCGCTTGTCGGGGATTCACCAGCAATGATTGTGTGATCAAACAGTAAATATTAACACTTTCCTTGATAATGTTCCCGGCCCAACAATTGTCTCTAACTAAAGTAGCTTCATGTTCATATCAACACATTAATAACTAGGTAGTCTTCGCTTGTCGGGGATTCACCAGCAATGATTGTGTGATCAAACAGTAAATATTAACACTTTCCTTGATAATGTTCCCGGCCCAACAATTGTCTCTAACTAAAGTAGCTTCATGTTCATATCAACACATTAATAACTAGGTAGTCTTCGCTTGTCGGGGATTCACCAGCAATAATTGTCTGATCAAACAGTAAATATTAACACCTTTCTTGATAATGTTCCCGGCCCAACAATTGTCTCTAACTAAAGTAGCTTTATGTTCATATCAACACATTAATAACTAGGTAGTCTTGGCTTGTCGGGGATTCACCAGCGATGATTGTGTGATCAAACAGTAAATATTAACACTTTCCTTGATAATGTTCCCGGCCCAACAATTGTCTCTAACTAAAGTAGCTTCATGTTCATATCAACACATTAATAACTAGGTAGTCTTCGCTTGTCGGGGATTCACCAGCAATGATTGTCTGATCAAACAGTAAATATTAACACTTTCCTTGATAATGTTCCCGGCCCAACAACTGTCTCTAACTAAAGTAGCTTCATGTTCATATCAACACATTAATAACTAGGTAGTCTTGGCTTGTCGGGGATTCACCAGCGATGATTGTGTGATCAAACAGTAAATATTAACACTTTCCTTGATAATGTTCCCGGCCCAACAATTGTCTCTAACTAAAGTAGCTTCATGTTCATATCAACACATTAATAACTAGGTAGTCTTCGCTTGTCGGGGATTCACCAGCAATGATTGTCTGATCAAACAGTAAATATTAACACTTTCCTTGATAATGTTCCCGGCCCAACAACTGTCTCTAACTAAAGTAGCATCATGTTCATATCAACACATTAATAACTAGGTAGTCTTGGATTGTCGGGGATTCACCAGCAATGATTGTCTGATCAAACAGTAAATATTAACACTTTCCTTGATAATGTTCCCGGCCCAACAACTGTCTCTAACTAAAGTAGCTTCATGTTCATATCAACACATTAATAACTAGGTAGTCTTCGCTTGTCGGGGATTCACCAGCAATGATTGTCTGATCAAACGGTAAATATTAACACTTTCCTTGATAATGTTCCCGGCCCAACAATTGTCTCTAACTAAAGTAGCTTCATGTTCATATCAACACATTAATAACTAGGTAGTCTTGGCTTGTCGGGGATTCACCAGCAATGATTGTCTGATTAAACAGTAAATATTAACACCTTTCTTGATAATGTTCCCGGCCCAACAACTGTCTCTAACTAAAGTAGCTTCATGTTCATATCAATACATTAATAAGTGTATTAAACCCATTAAATCAGAATTGATCATGATAGAATAATCTAGGTAAAAGTATTTTTATTAGTATCAATCAACTCCAAGTAAACAAAAACAATTAACACATGATAATAAACTAAAATGACAATAGTCAGTAGAGCCAACCATTACATCTCCCTCTTTAAAGGTTGAGTTTCTGGGGAGGTTTTATAAGTCGTCTTGATCGGGTTGTTATGTTAGCAGAAGACATTCCAGAGGTGTTTGGAGGAACCGTTGAAAAGTTTGGCATGTCTTCATGATGATCCATCGGACCTCTTGTTAATGGTTGACTGTTACGGTTATCTGTTGAAAAGTTTGTTAAGCACATACCGTTGTCTTCCTCAGATCGATGATCCTTCTGACTACTTGTTGATGGTTGATGGTTGTGGCAATGATCCTTCTGACTATTTGTTGATGCTTGATGGTTGTGGTAACTTTCCTTTTGAATGTTTGGCATTGGTTGTAAGTGAAACCGGTTTCTTCGAACTATGGTTCCTTTGTCCGTCAGTACTTTATAAGATCGTGGTGAGTTTAACTTTTCTACGACTTGTCCTTCACGTTTCAAATCAGATATCCAAACTTTGGTTCCTGGGTTCATATCTGATAAGGGTCGAGCACCATGTCGTCGATCGTAATTTCGTTTGTAATTTTGTCTATAATGATTCTCCTTCTCTCGGAGATGACTGAAGTCTGGCTTGTTCTCCAGATGACATGGTAAGGTAGGCAAATTGTCCCGTAGTCTGCGTCCGTATAATAACTGTGCTGGACTGTAACCGTTGGCCAGTGGAGAGTTCCTGTAAGACAACAAAGCTATATATGGATCTCCTTTGTTCTTCTTTAGAACAGCTTTTGCAATTTTTACAGCTGCTTCGGCTGAGCCATTGCTCTGATGAAACTGAGGACTGCTTGTTTTGCATAAAAAGTTGTACTCTTTGGCAAATTTTCTGAATTCTGCACTAGTGATGCCAAACTGCGTTCCACTATCTGAGTATAAAACTTCAGGAATACCGTGGCGAGAAAACGTTGACTTGCATTTCTCAATAACTTCAGATGCAGTGAGCGATTGTAGAGTTGCAATCTCAAAATATCTCGAGAACTGATCTGTTATAACAATGAACCATTTGCCATTAAGCTTGAACAAATCCATTGCTGCCTTTTCCCATGGACGTTTTGGAAACTCGGAAGGAATGAGCGGCTCATTTCGATTTTCTCTGTGTTTGATGCATGTTGGGCATGAAGCTACCATCATATTTATATCTGATGCCATTCCTGGCCACCATAAACTGAATCTAGCCTTTTCTCGACATTTGGTGGCTCCTAGATGACCGACGTGTATTCTATGAAGCATTTCTTGACAAAGACTTGATGGTACTATTATTCTAGAATTGCGTAAAAGTAAGTTGTCCATCAGTGATATCTCATCTTTAACCGAGAAGTAGGGGACTAGTTGAGATGGAAGTTGTGATTTTTCTGGCCATCCAGTATGACAGTATACTGCAATCTTTCTGAAGATGGGATCTGCTTGCTGAGCTTCCCGTAACCTGTTTATGTTTTCATCAGTCGTAGGTATGTTTTCAACCACATTTTGAACAAAAGCTTCAATTTCTTCTTCCATGTCATATGTTTCCTTGCTTGGAATGGGGCATCTTGAAAGACAGTCTGCTGGTGCAAGGTGTTTTCCAGGCGTATATGTCACTGAATATGAGTATCTCATCATGCGAAGCCTCATTCGCTGTAAGCGAGGTGTAATGTCATCCAAATTCTTAGATGATAAGATTTTTATAAGTGGCTTGTGATCCGTTTCAATTACAATCTCTCGACCAATTATATAGTCTCTGAGCTTGTCACAAGCCCATGTGATTGCCAGGGCTTCACGTTCAATATTTGAATATGATTTTTCAGCTTCTGTAAGTGACCTTGAAATGTAAGAAACAGGTCTGAATTTACCATCATGATGTTTCTGAAGAAGCAATCCGCCGAGACCATAAGAAGAAGCGTCTGCTGACACAAGAGTTGGTAAGCGAGGGTCGTAAAATGCTAGTTGGGGTGCTGAGGTCAGAAGTTTTTTTATACTTTCAAACGCATGCTGTTGTTGTTCTCCCCAAAACCATTCATTTTTCTCTTTAAGTAGATCATGGATTGGTTTTAGTATTTCTGATCGATTTGGTATGTATTTACCACAAAAATTTATCATTCCTAAGAAGCGTTGTACTTCTTTTATATCAGATGGAGGTTTCATCTCAAGAATGGCTTTGACTCTTTCATGGCTGATTTGAACCCCTCGGGATGAAAGGTGATGTCCTAAGAATTGTACTTCTGGCTGAGAAAATACACATTTGTCTTTATTCAATGTAATTCCAGCATTTCTGAGTTTCTTTAAAACTTCATTTAAGATCAAGTCATGTTCCTCTTGACTGGAACCCCATACAAGTATGTCATCGATGTGAGCTAAACAGTTTCGTTGAGATCCTAAGGTTTCTTGAATTCGTTTCTGGAAATACTCGGGAGCACTTGTGATACCAAATGGAAGAACTTTGAATTTGTATCGGCCCCAAGGAGTTAAAAACGTGGTGAGATCTTGAGATTCTTCTGCAAGAGCTATTTGCCAAAACCCATGGTTGGCATCCAGTTTGGAAAAGACTTTGGCATCTTTTATTCGAGCCATCGTATAATCAATGCCCCAAATAGGATGAGTTTGTCGAAACACATTCTTATTAAGCATAGTAAGGTCCACACATATTCGAACCTGAGTTCTATCTTTCTTAGGCACCACGACCATAGGTGCGCACCAAGAAGTAGCGTGATCAACGGGTGTTATAACGTCCATATTCACCATATTTTCAATCTCCTTCTTTGTTTTTTCCCAAAGAGGTACTGGAATCCGTCGAGGAACTGATATCGCATAAGGTTTTGCATCATTTTTAAGTTCAATTTCGTAGCTCCCCTTCATTTTTCCTAGACCACTGAAAAGGTCAGGAAAGTTTTTGATCCAATCATTAGCAGATTTGTTGAAATTAGTTTTCGATACCTCACGAATAACCGGTATTATTTTTAGTTTTTCTATTGCTGGTTTGCCAAGTAGTGGTGTTGTGCATTTGTCAGCCACATACATTTTTTCCATACACGATTGTCCTTTGTAAGAGAGTTTTGCAGTGATTGTGCCAAGAACAGAAAGAGGCGATCCTCCAGCCGCACTTAAAGTTCTCTGGGTAGGCTGGACTGCAATTTTTTTGCTTAGCTTTATGTTGGATGGTATTACTGTCACGTCAGCTCCTGTGTCGATTTTGAACTTGACAGTGTCTTCATTAAGTCTTACATTTATTGTCCAGGGATCATTTTTTGTTTTACTAGAATACACACACCCAATGAATTTTTTCGATGGGTCTGGTTCATTAGCGATTTGGGTAAAGTCATCTGAACGATCCAAGTCTATTTCTCGAACATTGTTTTGAAGACAACAGTGTGAAAAGTGGCCATTTCGCTTGCACCTAGAACATTTGCGATCTTTTGCTGGACACAGACCTCTTCGATGAGAAGGGGTTGAACCACACCAAATACAAGAGTTGGGATAGCTCTTGACATTTGAACTTGAATACGTTAATCTCCCTTGATCCCTATTTTCTCTTTTGGATGAATGTATTGCATTATCATATCTAGCACGTTGATTTTTATTTACAGCTTCGATTGATGGGAGGGTCAATTCTTCTTTTTGTCGTTTCAATTCTTCTGATTTGCGAAGTGAAGTTATTGCAGATTCCAATGTAACTTTATTTTCTAATTGTAGTTTATCACTCAAATCTTGATCACGCATACCAATAATAATGACCATTAATAACATTTCATCTTCAAGCGTTCCCCATTCACAGGTACGAGCAAGAGAATATAAATCTGTCACAAAATCTTCTGCAGTTTCTGTTAGTCCTTGTTTTCTACGTAGAAATTTGGCTCTTTCATAAATAATATTCTTCTTTGGATTGAAGTGCCCATCAAATTTGTCCATGACTGTTTTATACTTTGTTTCTTCGTTGGTCATTTTGAAGGATGAGAATATTTCTTCTGATTTTGGGCCCATTGCATATATGAGTGTACTCACTTGTTCTTCTTCAGATGATTGATCCAAATCACTAATTGTTCTAAATCTTTCGAAACGTTTTTTCCATGATGACCATTCCGCTGGTTGGAAGGAAAAAGGTTCAGGCATTCTTACTTGTGTATGAGCCATGATAAACTTTTTTGATAATGGTAGATACCACAAAAGTTGTTGATATGTTTGTATAGGTAAAAAAGTTAAATTTCAGTGTCAGTATATTAATTAATACATAAATAGTTGAAACAACCAAAGCCTTTGGTTACCCCAAACTATGCAAATACCGACTGCGCCATGTATTAAACCCATTAAATCAGAATTGATCATGATAGAATAATCTAGGTAAAAGTATTTTTATTAGTATCAATCAACTCCAAGTAAACAAAAACAATTAACACATGATAATAAACTAAAATGACAATAGTCAGTAGAGCCAGCCATTACAATAAGTAGGTAGTCTTCGCTTGTCGTGGATTCACCAGCATTGATTGTGTGATCAAACAGTAAATATTAACACTTTCCTTGATAATGTTCTCGGCCCAACAATTGTCTCTAACTAAAGTAGCTTCATGTTCATATCAACACATTAATAACTAGGTAGTCTTGGCTTGTCGGGGATTCACCAGCAATGATTGTCTGATCAAACAGTAAATATTAACACCTTTCTTGATAATGTTCCCGGCCCAACAACTGTCTCTAACTAAAGTAGCTTCATGTTCATATCAATACATTAATAAGTAGGTAGTCTTCGCTTGTCGTGGATTCACCAGCATTGATTGTGTGATCAAACAGTAAATATTAACACTTTCCTTGATAATGTTCCCGGCCCAACAATTGTCTCTAACTAAAGTAGCTTCATGTTCATATCAACACATTAATAACTAGGTAGTCTTGGCTTGTCGTGGATTCACCAGCAATGATTGTCTGATCAAACAGTAAATATTAACACCTTTCTTGATAATGTTCCCGGCCCAACAATTGTCTCTAACTAAAGTAGCTTCATGTTCATATCAACACATTAATAACTAGGTAGTCTTGGATTCACCAGCAATGATTGTCTGATCAAACAGTAAATATTAACACTTTCCTTGATAATGTTCCCGGCCCAACAATTGTCTCTAACTAAAGTAGCTTCATGTTCATATCAACACATTAATAACTAGGTAGTCTTCGCTTGTCGTGGATTCAGCAGCAATAATTGTCCGATCAAACAGTACATATTAACACTTTTCTTGATAATGTTCCCTGCCCAACAATTGTCTCTAACTAAAGTAGCTTCATGTTCATATCAACACATTAATAACTAGGTAGTCTTGGATTCACCAGCAATGATTGTCTGATCAAACAGTAAATATTAACACTTTCCTTGATAATGTTCCCGGCCCAACAATTGTCTCTAACTAAAGTAGCTTCATGTTCATATCAACAAATTAATAACTAGGTAGTCTTCGCTTGTCGTGGATTCATCAGCAATAATTGTCTGATCTAACAGTAAATATTAACACTTTTCTTGATAATGTTCCCGGCCCAACAATTTTCTCTAACTAAAGTAGCGTCATGTTCATATCAACACATTAATAACTAGGTAGTCTTGGATTCACCAGCAATGATTGTCTGATCAAACAGTAAATATTAACACCTTTCTTGATAATGTTCCCGGCCCAACAATTGTCTCTAACTAAAGTAGCTTCATGTTCATATCAACACATTAATAACTAGGTAGTCTTGGATTCACCAGCAATGATTGTGTGATCAAACAGTAAATATTAACACTTTCCTTGATAATGTTCCCGGCCCAACAATTGTCTCTAAATAAAGTAACTACTCTAACTCTAACTAACTAACTCTAACTAACTACTAACTCTAACTAAAGTAGCTTCATGTTCATATCAACACATTAATAACTAGGTAGTCTTCGCTTGTCGGGGATTCACCAGCAATGATTGTGTGATCAAACAGTAAATATTAACACTTTCCTTGATAATGTTCCCGGCCCAACAATTGTCTCTAACTAAAGTAGCTTCATGTTCATATCAACACATTAATAACTAGGTAGTCTTCGCTTGTCGTGGATTCACCAGCAATAATTGTCTGATCAAACAGTAAATATTAACACTTTTCTTGATAATGTTCCCGGCCCAACAACTGTCTCTAACTAAAGTAGCTTCATGTTCATATCAACACATTAATAACTAGGTAGTCTTGGATTCACCAGCAATGATTGTGTGATCAAACAGTAAATATTAACACTTTCCTTGATAATGTTCCCGGCCTAACAATTGTCTCTAACTAAAGTAGCTTCATGTTCATATCAACAAATTAATAACTAGGTAGTCTTGGCTTGTCGTGGATTCACCAGCAATAATTGTCTGATCAAACAGTAAATATTAACACTTTCCTTGATAATGTTCCCGGCCCAACAATTGTCTCTAACTAAAGTAGCTTCATGTTCATATCAACACATTAATAACTAGGTAGTCTTCGCTTGTCGGGGATTCACCAGCAATAATTGTCTGATCAAACAGTAAATATTAACACTTTTCTTGATAATGTTCCCGGCCCAACAATTGTCTCTAACTAAAGTAGCTTCATGTTCATATCAACACATTAATAACTAGGTAGTCTTGGATTCACCAGCAATAATTGTCTGATCAAACAGTAAATATTAACACTTTCCTTGATAATGTTCCCGGCCCAACAATTGTCTCTAACTAAAGTAGCTTCATGTTCATATCAACACATTAATAACTAGGTAGTCTTCGCTTGTCGGGGATTCACCAGCAATGATTGTGTGATCAAACAGTAAATATTAACACTTTCCTTGATAATGTTCCCGGCCCAACAATTGTCTCTAACTAAAGTAGCTTCATGTTCATATCAACACATTAATAACTAGGTAGTCTTCGCTGGTCGGGGATTCACCAGCAATGATTGTGTGATCAAACAGTAAATATTAACACTTTCCTTGATAATGTTCCCGGCCCAACAATTGTCTCTAACTAAAGTAGCTTCATGTTCATATCACCACATTAATAACTAGGTAGTCTTCGCTTGTCGGGGATTCACCAGCAATAATTGTCTGATCAAACAGTAAATATTAACACTTTTCTTGATAATGTTCCCGGGCCAACAATTGTCTCTAACTAAAGTAGCTTCATGTTCATATCAACACATTAATAACTAGGTAGTCTTGGATTCACCAGCAATGATTGTCTGATCAAACAGTAAATATTAACACTTTTCTTGATAATGTTCCCGGCCCAACAATTGTCTCTAACTAAAGTAGCTTCATGTTCATATCAACACATTAATAACTAGGTAGTCTTGGATTCACCAGCAATGATTGTCTGATCAAACAGTAAATATTAACACCTTTCTTGATAATGTTCCCGGCCCAACAATTGTCTCTAACTAAAGTAGCTTCATGTTCATATCAACACATTAATAACTAGGTAGTCTTGGATTCACCAGCAATGATTGTGTGATCAAACAGTAAATATTAACACTTTCCTTGATAATGTTCCCGGCCCAACAATTGTCTCTAACTAAAGTAGCTTCATGTTCATATCAACACATTAATAACTAGGTAGTCTTTGCTTGTCGGGGATTCACCAGCAATGATTGTGTGATCAAACAGTAAATATTAACACTTTCCTTGATAATGTTCCCGGCCCAACAATTGTCTCTAACTAAAGTAGCTTCATGTTCATATCAACACATTTATAACTAGGTAGTCTTCGCTTGTCGGGGATTCACCAGCAATAATTGTCTGATCAAACAGTAAATATTAACACTTTCCTTGATAATGTTCCCGGCCCAACAATTGTCTCTAACTAAAGTAGCTTCATGTTCATATCAACACA